AAATAATCGACTTGAAGTTTTCAAGTCCAAATATTTAGAAAACGGTTGCTTACAGCGACTAGTAACAAGGGTAGCTTATTTACGTAGATATGATAGAGGAATCGATTTTTTTACTGAAAAATGTGCTAGAAGTACGTCCAAAAAAGTTATGAATCGTTAAAATAGAAAAAGCCATGTAGGTGATGCCCCCTACGAGTAAGAGCAATAAGCAGGTTCGAATTCGACACCTCAAAAACCTCCTATTACCAAGTTTCGTTTAATTGAGTTCAGTATTTCAAAAGTTATTTCAAAAAACGAAAATAAAAATAAAACTTCAACATCCTGTATCTTGGAAACGAAGCGTTTCCGGACATTTATTTATTTGGACAATTCATATAAGAATATTGTGAGGAATCACCTCCTGAAGTTTGTCAAAGTACTTTTGAATCACCCTGTATATACTCTTGGATAGTAATTTTGAGTTATATAGAATATTACTGCATCTTCGAATGGAATAAAGTGAGTACCTTCTTTGTTGAGAGCATAAGAGCTGATTTGTCGGTTTGTCCGAGACGACAATTTCTATTGTATTCAGAACGGCAAGCACTCAAATTTCTGTTCGTGGCTCCAATGCCGACCGACTCGCAGCTACAAGGAATCCGGTACACCCTGGATGTTGCTGAAGGTTCCCTGGGGTCCTTAGCTGACCTTAGACCTCTTTTGATAGTTTTTGTTAGCCTGAATATTGGTTTCATGTCATGTTTCTCTAGGATTTTTCCAATATAGTCTGTAACATTTTCAACATAGAGAAGGAAAGCATTTCCCTTGACCAGCCTAGATGGTGTTACTTTGAAATTCTCTCTCCTGGGTGGTATGATCCGCTCCAGTTCTCCTTCCCCGTACCCATGCCCTTTGAAGGAATTTTTCAGGTAATTTCAGGTAATTGAGTAATTGAGGTAATTGAGGAAGACTCTTGGGTTCACAAATACTCTACTGTTATGGCAGGTGGTTAGATTTTTTGTTCAGGTACCTGCCTGTGTGTTTGTTTTGGTTTCCTGTACACTCTGTGGCAGAATATGCCATCTCCACGTCTGTTCACAAAAACATCCAAAACGGCAAGAGTCCCTTGAGTTTCTTATTCCATTGGGAATTTTATTTTCGGGTCAGGAAAGTTTAGATACAATAAAAATTTGTTTAGTGTCTCTTCATCTTCTTGCCATACCACAAACGTGTCATCAACATAACGCAGCCAAAAATATTGTTACGTTTTTCCCAGTGGGTTGACTAATAATTGACTTGACTGAACAATAATCAAACAAAGTCAACTTCATTTCACTCTAAATACAACAAACATTTCAAGTAAAAATTTGAACTATTATTCGAGTGTATATCGCCTTACTAGATCGCTCTGCGATCTGTAACTTCCACTTGACTGTGTCGACGGACGAGTGAATGACACTCATATTTGGCAATCGAAGGCGCTAGAAATTCCTTTTAATTGTATCGAAACCGGTAGCATTATTTTCGCTACATCTAGAATGGCAGCGAACATCGAACATTCGCGCGCTCTTAGCTACGGCACAATTGATTACCTGCTACCAGTGGTGGTCGGCGTTATTTTCTTTAAGGCATGATTTACAACAATATGGTTTCAGTGGTTCGAAATTTTCTATGAAAAAGTTTGTCACCGCCGGACTTGATGGACTGCCCATCGCGGAACCACTCGTTTGTTCGTAAAAAACACTATCTCACAGATATTTTCTCGAACCAGACATGTTGATATCTATTACAGGTTCAATGAAAGTAAAATTACGAAAAATCCCACTGTAACCCATTGTAACAACAATCAAACGAACAATGCGTAGTACAGCCCTCCGTTGAATACATATCTGGGGTTCCCCTAACACCATGCGTCGTCAAATCGCCAAGGCCACGAAAAAAGTACTTTCTCAGTTAATAAAATGCGGGGCGGGTTGGATGTCCTTGTTCAACTTTCACTGCCTGAATCACTGTGCATGCTGCTTTTGGTGAGTGTATTGGCTTGAGATGTGGGGGTTGAGCAAACCGGCCATCGAATGCCTGCTTCCACGTAGCCCCGCTGGATACGGGAATGACAGAATCACTTGTAGTTCTGTTATTCCCTAACTGAATGGCATCCCAACGATGGCTTAATCCTAAGCCGCTCTCCTCAAGAGCGGGGTACCTTATGAAACCCACTCACTTTGGACCCAACCTAACCTAACCTAACCTAACCTAACCTAACCTTTTTTTTGTGGGAGGAGAAATAATTCCCCCCTCTTCGGCACGAATAATGCATGCGGAATCACCTTGCGATATACATCACATGCATCTGGCAAGTCTTATTTTTCTGTTCCTTCCTCCATTCACCTTCCCTGTTCCTCTAGTTCATCCTTGATTTTTTCCTTCATTATTTTATTTATGAAGCCCCTCATCTTGTTCCAGTTGTGTTCAACTGTCTCCATGAAGTTCTGCGCTAATACCTCGTGCCCGGTCTCTCGGCATACCAGATGTCTCTCCCCTTCCCACCTGGGACACGCAGTTAGGATGTGTTCCGGTGTATCCACCTCCCCACAGTATCTGCACAGATTGCTGGCGGTTTTGCCTATTCTTCGGGTGTATTGCCCGAATGACCCGTGCTCCGACAGAATCTGTGTGGTACAGTAGTCTACGTCCCTGTTTTTTAGTAAATACCATCTTTCCACTGAGGAGATCAGTTTTTTTGTCCACTGCGCTACCTCCGTTGTTTCTTGCCACTCTGCTTGCCATTCCCGCAGTGTTGCGTCTCTCTCTTTCTTCCTTGCCTTCTCCGTGGCGCCATCCCTCCTTTCGTAGAGCCTCGTCCGCTCCTTAGTCAAAAGGCAGATCGGTATTTGGCCCGCTATTACTTGCAACCCTCTGGTTGAAGCCGTCCTGTACCCACATGTGATGCGCAGCAGAAGCTTCCTTTGGGCACTTTCAAGCATTATTTTGTACCGACCTATCCGGGTCACATTATGCCATATGGGAGCTCCATACAGGATGATGGATTGTACGACGCTGGCAAGTTCCTCCCTTTTCCAGTGATTTCTGTATAATTCATATCATATTTTCCAAAGCAGACTTTCATTATTGCTACTTTCGAGTGGTACAGAAATAATT